TCATACTAATAGACCTCATCGTGTCACCCATCCACCAGCTAAGCTATCTGATTATGTTTTGTCCCATTTTATGTACAACTATTCAAATTTGGGTGCTTCCATAGCTTTTTCTTCTGCTCTCTTGGACACAACCGAACTAGGCTCTATGTGGAAGCCCCTCACTAATCCTCACCAGAAACAAGCCATGAATGATGAACTTATCACAAGAAAACACAACCACACATGGTCGTTACTCACTGAGCTTCCTCCAGGAAAAGCACACATTCGTTCTAAATGGGCTGTGAAGTTAATACTCAAACCTGATGGCACCATTAAGCAGGCATCCTGTAATTGGTTTGAGAAATTAGCTTATGCTCTCAAGCATAATGGTTTCATCCAATCTACAACTGATTCATTACAGTTTACTTCAACTCGACCAAAAAGATTTTTGGCGGTCCTTGTATATGTTGATGGCCTTCTCATTGTTGGGAATGACTCCACTCACATATTTGGTTTAAACAGTATCTCAGTCATTGTTTTCATGTCAAGGACCTTGGTCCCCTTTACTATTTTCTTGGTGTGGAATTTACTAGAACTGATGCTAGGTTTTATGAGTGAGGAAATATCTCTTAGATATCTTACAAGAAGTAGTCATGTCGGACCATGGTTTTTAAAACCGAGCCGGTGATCAAACCGGTCAGGGGTTCGGTTACCAGGTCGAACGGTCCAATCGTTCAAACTGAATGCTCAGCCCGTTCTGGCAAGAAAATAAAAAAATTAAAAAAATGAAAAAAATGAAAAACAGTCAAAATTGTACGAATGGTTCGAACGGTTAACCGCCCAATTCAGTGGTTCGTTGACCAAAATCAACAGTTTTTGGGAGAAATCCGGTTTTTGGGGAAAACAGAACCCATCACCTGACCGGTTCCTGATTCTTCCGGTCCGGTCCGATTTTGAAAACCATGTGTTAGACTGCAAGCCCAACACTTATAGAGGTCTTGTGGGTTGCCTTATCTATTTGACAATTACTCGGCCTGACATCAACTATGTGATTCATACTCTAAGTCTATTCATGAGCCATCCATGCATTTAGTACAATCTTAAATCTACTCCTAACCATGGACTCATACTTGTTGCCTCTAGTATTCTTCGTGCCTTTTGTGATTCAAATTGAGTTGGTTATCCTCTCACTAGAAGATCCACCACTAGCTACATCACATATATCAACTCTTCTCCAATATCTTTGGAAGACTCAAAAGCAACCCATTGTTGTCCATTCTTTAGCTAAAGCTAGATATAGGTCCATGACGACTACTACCAGTGAAATCCTCTAGTTTCATCGCCTTCTGATCACTGATCACTTGGGCCTTCGTCATAAGAGACCCATGCCCTTATTTTGTGATAATAAGGCTGCCAACCCTGTGTTTCACAAAAGAACAAAACACATCGACATTGACTATCACTTCATTAGAGAATATCTTCAATCTCAGGCTATTTCTATACTCACCACGTTCTTTCTACTACTCAACTGTGGGTATTTCAGTTGAGCTTACAGTTGACTCGCACTACTCGTATCTAATGAATTCATTTTATCAACTTTCTCAGGCCCCGTTTGGTTTGCAAGAATAAGTGTCTGGAATCGGAATCATAATGAATTATTCCAATTCCAGCTGTTTGGTTGGTGGAATCGGAATCCTATTCCCATTCCTTGTGGAATGGCATTCCACTATTTGAGGGAATGATCATTCCTTCCCCTTCCCTTGGGAATATGAAATCCCATTCCTGTTGATTCCAATTTACAGTCCCATTCCTATCTGAACCAAACAAACTATGGGAATAGATCATTCCAATTCTGATTCTGAAGGATTTCGATTCCGATTCTGGCTGCGAACCAAAAGGACCCTCATTTTATATAGGAGTAATGGCCAATTTCTATTACATGCTCCATTCAGTACATAAGAGTAGTAACCACTACTAACAAAGTTCCACCAAGTAAAGTTTAGTGTGTAGAACCTACAACATGGATCCAACTAGAACAATTATTGTCATCCCTGCATTGATCTTATGCTAGTATATCTCCTCTTTCGCTAGAAACTCCTTCAATTGCCTATTGGATATTGTTAAATGGCTGTGTTCTGAACTCGAAGTTAGTCTTGTATAAATTATTCTCATCTATCACAATCTATACCAAGAGCAAGAAATCCAGATAAATATATAAATGTCCAATTTATATCATTCTAAAAAGGAATCCCACCCATTGTCACCTTGACTTGAAGCCTTAACCATGCATGAGATGAATTTCACAAAGTGTTGGAGTCTACAAGTTCGAGGACACATAAGATCAGTAACTTCTTTATGTCTTTGCTATGCATAGGTATGGGTCGTACAAGTGGTTTTGGACCCATGCCGTCCAATGGTCTTGTTAAACTGTGTATGGGTTGTAGGGGACCATGCATGTTAATGATGATGCGGGAGATGGTGGAGAGGGAGGGGGGGAGATGAAACACTTTGGAAACCCAAAAGTCTTTTGAAAAAAATGAAAATTAAAACCATAAAAAAAAAAGAATGTTGCTATATATGTCTATATCTATACAACTGTTAAAAGTGTAAATGAGAGTTTGAAACTTTTGTTTGACTAGAATACCTCTACTTTTTTAAATGTGATCCCTCTCTTATTATAAGGATAGAATTGTAATTTGATCAACCACTTTCTCCACATTCAAATCCCTCTCATTAAATCTTATATTTAAGGTATTAACTCCTATTATCATTCATTGAATTATACTCTTCACTATAATAACCCCTATTTAATTTTGAATTTGGTTCTCTAATTGTGAGGACACAAAATGTAATTTAAACTACTACATTTATCCTCACTCAATTCCCTCTCTTTAAGTCCTATAATTAGAGTATTAACTTCCATTTTCTCATTGGATCCTAAAGCTATTTTTTGACCAATAAATTTTATTTATTAATTGATCTATATCCAAAATACATGCCTTTTAAAATTGACTCAAATATTGTTCTTTCATCCTTGTGGCAAGTAAGCAATTCAACAATCTAGGTCAAATGGACCAATCCATAATGTCATATTAAATAAAAAACTTTTAAAATATCAATAAATACAAAAAATTAAAAATATAGAAAAATTGGACATATCTCTAATGTTTTATATTAATCATATTAAGAAAATAAGTGTAATAAATAATAACTATTCTTATTGATACTGGAATGGAATATAAATTTAAAACTAATCCATGGTGGTGGGTCAACAATCCAACTTTTTGAGTCAAATGTGCCAACCCTTGATATCATAGTTAAATAAAAAAAATAAAAAGATAAAAACACAAAAACATTATGTAATAATATAGAAAGTGTGATATATAAAAAACATTTAGGCACTTATCTAATGTTTTATATTAATCATATCAAATAAAGATAAGTGTGATATATAATAGTTATTTTTATTGATGTTGAAAATAAAATATAAAATTAAAATCAACCCAAAAATAAAATTGTTTTCCTAGTGGTAGGTAAATGTTCAACCTTTCGGGTTATATGTGTCAACCATTGATCTCAAAATTAAGTAAATCATAAAATACAAATGCTATGAGAAATATAGAAATTCTATAGAAATTATTTGGACACATCTCTAGTATTTTATATTAATAACCATATGAAAAACTAAACATGATAAACAAAAATTGTTTTTTAACTTTTTATTGATGATGGAAATAAAATAAAAATAAATAAAACTAACCCAAAAGTGAAATTGTTTTCTTGTTTAGTGATAGATCAACAATTCAATCTTTCAGGTCAAATGCATCAACCCATTATGTCACAATTAAATAATAAAAGTTAAAAACATGAAAACACAAAAATAGAAAACATTTGGGCATATCTCTTATATTTTATATATTAATTAACCATATTAAAGAAAACTATGTGACAAAGAATAATTGTTTTAATTGATGATAGAAATAAAATACAAATTTTAAATCAACCTAAAAATGAAGTTGTTTTCTTGTTTTGGTGGTGAGTCAACAATTCAACCTTTCGGGTCAAATGTGTCAATCCTTTTTCCAAAAAAATACCAATGTTTTAAAAATTTTTATTCAATAAATATTACGTTACCTTTTTCCAAAAAATAATTAAATAATAAAAACTAAAAAAAATTACAAAACATTTGAACACATATTGAATATCAGGTATTCATCATAATAAACAAAAATAAATATGACAAATAAGAATAATGTATATAAACAAGAATATAAAATAATTATAGAAAACTTTGAAAACATATCATATACTATCATCATAAATTGCTGCATGCAAATCTTGTACGCAACTATTAGTGTGTGTGTATATATATAAGTGAAATTAGGGGATTCTAAGTTGCCTATATATTGCATAAATGCATAATCTGAGGGTGTAGATGATCAAACTAAGTGAAATTCTCAGTGTATGATGTTATTCATGCTATGGTCTTCTTCAATCTTCAGCATCAGTATATGATATAAACAGTCTATAATCTCTCCCACAACCAATTGTTCTTTTGATAGAAGGCATAACTAATCGTTCTTGTGGCTAGATTTTGACCAATGAGGCCCGATGAAATGCCTAATAATAATAGACACCGTTAAATACTATGAGGGCAGATTCGAAATTAACATGGTAAACCAAGGCATTAACTTTTAATCCTCCTTCTCTAACTGCCACTTATTTTCCTCGTACCTAGTGGTACGTCCTTGGTTTTGTACCCTTACTGCAAAATTTCCATTCCTCTTCTCAAATCGTTTTCTGAGAAAATAATGAGATGGTTTCTGAAGGTCTGAGGCCACCTTCATTCAATTTTTCTTCCGCTCTCCTTCAGCTAAAGCCATCTCTCAGACCTCTCTGCATTAGAAATATTCAATAAATGCATGTTATCAGAAGAATCCCACGTAAATACAGAGAAAAAACGCCTCACGTATTATTATCATCCTTCGCCTAGTTTCTGGAACTAGTTTCTTTTTGTCACCATGTCGGGAGGTGATAACTCTCAATCAAGGCAGCTTGATCAGACACCCACGTGGGCAGTTGCTTTTGTTTGTGCGTTTATCATTATAATTTCTATAGTATTAGAGAAGGTTCTTCACAGAGTTGGGGAGGTAAGCTGTAAACATATGATTTCTTTCTTTTTTGAATTATTGAATTATAATTATTTATCTTCTCGTTTTATGGATTTCTAGAAGAAATAAACAAGTATTTCTTTCTCCAGTGATTCAGGCTTTGAGTTTTATTTGGGATTGTAGATGGGTGAGAGATAGATTGGTTTGGTCCCCATCTTTTGTGTGCTTGTGTGATTATTTTCATTCTGTTCTGATTGTCTTTTTTTATTTCATTTTTTTACATGGATTATGAGAAAAATGAGGGGGGTAATCTCTTTAAAGAGATTCCCTCCCTCCATTTTTAGCCATTTGGATTCATGGCCATGTGCTTCACGGGAGGAGAAATGGATGAAGTTTGGCTTTACAGTTGGTTGAATGATTCTTTGATTTTTATTTTGAATTTAATGTGCTTGAATTTTTTATACATTTTTCATTTCTCCCTTCCAATTCTGTCACTGGAACTGCTTTGTTTTCCCATTGTGAATTTTCTTTCTGTTATCTTTTGTTTGAGAATGCATTGCAGAGTAAAGATAGAAGGCATCTCATATTTGAGAAAAAAATAAAGATTGACAGTTTGCAACATCTTCTGGTTAGCTAATGGGTGGTGGGAAAGTTGACCAAATATTATGGGCAGTTTTTAGATGTCAAATGTTGTGTAACTTCAGTGGTCTCCCTGCTTACTGGTCCTTGCATTTGTGTTTCATTTCAGTGGTTTCAAGAAAGACGCAAGAAGGCCCTGTATGAAGCTCTTGAGAAGGTTAAAGGCGGTAAGATAACTTAAAGCCTAATCCTTAGTAGTAAACATTGCAACAAAGAGAAAAAAAGAGGGGGGGGGGGGAAACTTCCGGCTTGTGCTTTTTCTGCTCTTTCATCATCATCATCATCATTATTTTATTATTATTGTGCCCATTGCTTTCCTTTTTCTGCTAGTTAATTTTCTTTTATCTAATTATTTGTGCAGAGCTTATGATTTTAGGTTTCATTTCCTTACTCCTGACTTTCGGCCAGATCTACATTGCCAAAGTATGCATTCCTGAGCATTTTGCAAATACAATGTTGCCATGTCCCTATAGAGCAGGGGGATTGGCACATGGTGCAGAAGATGGAGAACACAAGACTGAGAGTGCTGGAGAGGGACATCATCGAAAGCTTTTATGGAATGAGCGTAGAATCTTATCTGGAGGTGGAGATTATAAATGCATGGAGGTATTGTATCTTAGGGAGCATTCAGTTTTCGATATTGAATTTCATTTTTCTGATTGAAATTTGAAGATTAGTGCAACAAAGGTCGTACATACATTGGTTTTTCATGCAATGACGAAATTGAAGGTATATATGGTTTGGATAGAAGCAGAGTTATTGCTGTTGTGGTTTAAGCTAAGTTTTTAATTGCCATTAACATTAAAATCATCTTTTGAAGGCAACATCACCAAGTGTTTCACTTTGTGAAATTTTGAATTTCTATAAACCCTTTTCAATTTTCTAATTAATGTTAGTTTTGTACCCTTCTTGAAACTCAAATTCTGAGTTGAGAAGCTCTCCATGTTTCATCCAAGAAAAAAATGGAAAAGAAAACCAACTTGAGGATCGGTGAAAGGAATTTCTTGTTTTTATGATTCTACAGTGTGACATGGGATAGAGAAATCAGTGAGAGCAATTGATTTCTTGCTTTTATTTTACAGAATTTGTCATACTTTCTATTATTATGAAAGAACCAAACTAGATGCTCCAAGAACAAAAGGCTTCACCTTTCAATTATTAAAAAAAGAAAAATACACACTGTTGGACATGGAATTACGTGAGGACAAGCTACTGAACTTGAGAATCCAACTTTTCTATTTATATTCAAATGGATAAGTACCTGACGGAATTCTTGAAAGAAATGCCCGATTTCAGGACCTGAAATGCATGGGTATGGAGGGGCATTTGGATGGTTTAGATGCTAGGGACCAGCTGGTCCCTAGAGTAATGCTTGACCTTCCTCTCAGGTAAATATAAATTCCACCCATACATTCAACCAACCTTAAGTTATTGGCCCAATACTATAAAATCAAAAGCTCCAGTTGCCATGAAAGTTTGTGAAATAGTTCCATAAGCCAATTAAATACTGTTACTTTTGTCTTCCTGGTTTGCTAGCTTTGCTAAATGCTAATAACCAACTTGTGGAAATAAGATAACTAAAAATTAATTTTCATCTTCATTATGGGCTCTAATTGACTATCTTACCACGTTTTCAATAATGTATGAATGTGATCCTAGCTTTCCAGTTTATAACTGTTTTATATTTCATGACAACAGGGGTACGAGCCACTTATATCTATTAATGGATTGCACCAATTACACATTTTCATATTCTTTTTAGCAGTCTTTCATGTGGTGTATAGTTGTGCTACAATGGCGCTTGGAAGACTAAAGGTAGGTCAAATATGGGAGCATTTCTGTGGTTTTATTATTATACCCTGTAATCTCTTAAAATAGTTGTAGGGACACTTGATACACAAGCAGGATATTCTGTCATTTCAAATATTAATTTGCTAAATGTTTAACCCATCACATATAATGAATGACCAGAATATTGGTGATTGGTTGAGAAAGCTAAAATACTCTTGAAGTCTTGATTTGAAGGGTCTCAACCGAGAGATCCCCTGGTAATTAATTTATAAGATCTTAATTATCCAATACATCTCATTCTTTTGGATGATAAAATATTTGCTGATCAGTTCAGAAAGTTGCAAGTAGTGTTAGTTTTAGACATTGTAGATGTTCTTGTTGGATCATTGAAATTGAGTGGTTAGTACCAGCATCTAGATAGGTTTTATAGAAATGCTATGTCTGGGCCTGGCCACAGTCACCTGAGACACTAATTTTCATTTATTCATTGAGGTCAATGAATTTCCAGAAGCGAAGTTTCCCAGTGACCTATAGAGAACCATTTATAGTCTTGCTGTAATTGAGGTCTAACTGAGCTTGGCACCTGCCTATGAAATTGGCAGCTATATAGCTTTATATTCAATTTATATTAATTGAATTTTCTAAGGATAGATCTGTCCATACCTTGGAGATGTTCAATGTACATTGTGGTTGTTGATGAAACTCTTTATGCAGATTCGTGGATGGAGGGCTTGGGAGACTGAGACATTATCACATGACTATGAATTTTCACAAGGTACCTCCTGCATGGAAAAATATTTTAGTTCCTACTTTTTGGGCTTGAAATTGATGGATGTTACTTAGAAGTGGCAGACTTTTAATGTGATATATACTTTTCATGGTCATTTCCCTGAATCTAAAAAAATATATATATTATCCTAATCCTGCAGATCAAGCAAGATTTAGACTTACTAAAGAGACATCTTTTGTAAAAGCACATAACAATTTCTGGACTCGGGTTCCCTTCTTGTTCATCATTGTAAGAAAAATTCCGCCAACTTGTTCACTTTCTTCTTTCCTTCATTTTTTTCTTTCTTGTTTTTGTGAAATGACTTGAATTTCTCAGGTTAGAAAGAACAACTACAAATAGAATATGGTAAGAATGACAAAATTGACGTTACATTCTTAGATTAGAAAGCAAAATTGCAAATAAAATGTAGTAAGAATGCAAAAATTGTGGTCATGTGGTTTTGCTTTTCCATTTTTTTTTAATAATGTAGATGCTATGGGATTTTGTTTACTTATTGCCCATGATGATATGCTTATAGACAAGTGATAGTACTAAAGATAAGGAATGCAGGTGAGCAAGTAGAATTTTAGTGCACCTTAGTTCTTCCTTCTGGAATGCTTAACTTAAAGATTTTTTTTAATGTCTTTTCATTGATCTCACAAGGGTGACATATGTTTCTTTTAAAGGATGCATCCAATCCAAATTGGGACCTTAATCCCTAGAAATGCCCCTCTGAGACCTTAGATAAATCCAACATCTTGTTTGGAGTTTATGAAAATATTTGAAGTTTGATTTGCTTTCTCAACTGCCAGTTAATTATGTCTAGATAGAAGTCTTTCTTTGGGCAGCAAGAGCAAAGATATGCTACCTATTAAAGGAAAATAATTAAAGAAAAGGGTTTTTCAACATTCAATTCTTTTTTCCTCCCTTCTGTGTTTTTTTTTTTAGAATTTTAAGCTGACTTTTTGCATTTAAATTAAAAGAAAGTTGATATAAAATGTATAGATCACTGATTCTTCTTAAACTATTCTCTTTAGGTATGCTTTTTCCGACAGTTTTTCAGGTCTGTCCGAAAGGCTGACTATTTAACCATGCGGCATGGATTTGTGGCTGTGAGTTTTCTCAGTTTCTGAATCTTTAATATGCCAAGTTCTGTTCATTTTGTTTTAATTGAAAATAATCATATTCTTGCAGGTTCACTTAGCTCCTGGAAGTAAGTTTGACTTCCAAAAATATATCAAAAGGTCTTTAGAAGATGATTTCAAGGTAGTTGTGGGAATCAGGTAAAGTATTATTATTTTTTGGTTCTCATAATCAATACTGCTTGAAATAAGTTTGCATGCATGTATGATTATATCACTCCATGTCTTGTATCCTTTTACTGAAGTTTTTGATGATATCTGCAGTCCATTGTTATGGGCTTCGGTTGTGGTAGTTTTTCTTTTGAATGTTAATGGTAAGTTAGTTCTTCTACTTAATCCCCATTTTGATATAATATTATCAATGCATCACATTCAAATAGAATACAATGTTGTTCACTATTTCATGTCATTGTTTTCAATCAGGATGGCATGCAATGTTTTGGGTGTCTATGATCCCTCTGGTTGTAAGTAATACTGGCACTAACCTATAGATCACTACCATGCTTTCGGTTCGACAGGAAAAGAAGTTCTAAGTATTAAATTGATTGTAGGTTATCTTAGCCGTTGGAACAAAACTTCAATCAATTATAACAACTATGGCTCTAGAAATCCAAGAAAGACATGCAGTGGTTCAAGGGATTCCTCTTGTACAAGTCACTGACAGGCACTTTTGGTTTCACTGGCCTCAGTTAGTCCTTTATCTCATCCATTTCGTTCTGTTTCAGGTATTAAATGTTTCTGATCTCCTATTTTTGATGATAGTATATAATATGATGATTGAGAAGAATGTATATTATAAAGGTTAACCAATTATGTTATAAAGTTACTGATGGAGATGGGTGTGATTTTCTTCTTGTATAATAGGGTTTAGGGATTTGGAAATAGACAGGGGGAGTTGGGTTTGGGGGAATTTATGGGATTGAGATTTGGTGATAGGTTTGATATAAAGGTCAAAGGATGAGAAAACCTATGGGCTGTGTGAAATATGAGGATCAAGAGGAAAGTTCAAGAATATGGATTGTATTATTGTTAGTATCGACTGAATTTCATGAGCTGGTTGCAGGATGTACTGAACGGATGAAATTTTGGGTCAAATTATAATAATTAACTTTCTTCCTAACCTTCAAGAAAACAGATAGAATTAGGATTTGAACACGTGGTTAGAATCAATCTGAACTCAGTTCAGTTCAACCTAGGCTTAGTCCAACTATTTGGATCTGCTACATGAGTCCTGCTCCAGTATTCCACTTTGTAAGGCTAGGAATGATCCTAATCACAAGTCCTCGAGTTTTTACTAACTATTTCCATGCACATCTTCCTTTCTTGTTTCTCTTTCAGAGACTTTGACTTGCTATAAACCATTCATATCCAGTCCATTCAATGGATACCTATTTGTTGATGTTCTAGACCTTAAATGAGCCATTTGGAATTCTTTCAACCACTATTTGGATGATCTGAGAAAATATTGACAATTGTGAACAGTAAAGGAGGAAAACAATTGATATATTTGATTAGGTCAATTCTATGATTAAAATGTTTGTAAGGCTGGAGTTGGCAAGCTACCATATATACTGTTGGGTATACTTACCGGTCAGTGTGGACTGTGGAGCGAGTGGACCTTTCAATTTGCTCCAGGCCTAAATATGCAAAACTTGAGGATCCAAGGACACGGTTCCATATCCCTGGACCCTAGTGGTGATCATTGTATTTAGAGGGGATAAGGGAGCTACTGATTATTACATTGATATATCTTGCCAAAGTTCTTAGACTGATGGTGAATGAGACAGATAAATTTTGTCTACAGTTGCCTAATTATGCAACTATTGTCTTGTATTTAACCACTTGTCTATGTTAATGGAACTACGGAACTAAAAAAGCTCAAAAATTTTTCTCACATCAAGCATTATATCTCAGGCCCAAAGGTTCCTGTGGTTCAAGGGAAGAATTTTGTGTTTGAGAGTCATTTCAATCCTCAGCCTTCGCCTCAGGCTGAGGATACTGAAGACAAGAACTCGGACACAATATGTCAATTGCCAATTCAGGGGATGTTTTGGATCGTACTCACTCCCCTAGAGCTCAAATACAACCTCTGAGTACAGATTAAAGGCTGGGGGTGGGTTTGCAAATTGGTAGGGTAGGGATCTTGGCCTTTTCTTTCGGGATGAAGTTGAAGGTTCTCGTACATTACATTTTGAACTTGAGCAGAGTTATCTGATTCCCTAACAAGTTTCCGAGTCTTTGTATGGTTTAGTAGAAGAAGGGACTCAGGACTCAGCTTCAAGTGGTGACAATGGGAAGTCGGTTGAGTCCTCTAATTTAATTCATAGTGATAATGAATTAGTTTACTATATTGGAGGATTTCCTGATCTTAGAAAATTAAAGGAGTTGACGGATCTTTACTTGGAATGCCGGGTTGAAAAAGTTAAGAGAGGTTGCAAGGTGACAAGAGGCCGAGGAAGAGGAGGAAGGGGAAAGAATTTCTGCTGATTCTCTCATTGTGGTCATCTAGGTAATCGTGGCTCTTCCTGGGTTGTTTTCTGGCTTCTGTTGGGTTCTTGGGAACTCAGATTCAGTCCTCACAATACCATGCTTAGACCATCCTCACACCAACTTGCAGCTATGAATTGGGAATATCTCCCCGTAAATAAAAAGATACAAGTATAGAGATGTTCCCAATGCACCTCTGAGAAAAGGCTGTGAGGACAAAATGATGTTTCCGGCCTTGTTCTTTCTTCTCTTTGGTCTGGACTTCTGGGCTGCAGTATTAATGGCCTATGTTTCTTTTCTCCCTTCTTTTTTTTTTTGCTTTTAATATTTTTTTATTTAGTACAAAAAATATTATATCTCTGTTTCCAGGTTTTTAAATTGATTAATTGTGTTTTCTTTTTCTGTTTGTGGCACAGAATGCATTCCAAATAACATATTTCTTTTGGATATGGGTAATGAACTGTTCCCCTTAATGTAATTAACTTCAGTATTTTCATTTCTAGTTTCATGGCATGTATTCCTCAGTCAAAGGTCTCATGGAAATATTCTCTCTTTTTGCAGTATGAGTTTGGGTTGAAATCTTGCTTCCATGAGAATCTAACGCTTATATTCATTAGAGTTGCCATGGGGTAATCTTTTATATCCATATTTTGTTTATCCATGCCATAGGAATAGTGGACTCCAACAAGGGAATCTGTAAAAAGATTTCTACTTGGGTCATGATATCTAGAATTACAACAGTTGGTAGAGACTACAAGGATGTACCACTTGGACATCCTATCAGTTAGTTAAGCTAGAGCTGCATTTGGGAGTGCTTCTCCAACAGGCTTTTTGTGCTTTTTCATGTTGGAGAAACCAAAATCAGAAAAAACATTCAGAAAAGCATTTGGGAGTGCTTCTCTAAACATGCTTTTTCGCATAAAAAAACATTCAGAAAAGCAGAAAAAAAAAAAAAAAACCTCTATTTAGCTTCATGTCTAGAATAGGGTAAAAGACTTAAACAAACCCTGAGTTTTTCAAATAGACTTAAATATACCTTGTGGATTGACTCACTGGACTTAAACATACTTTCATTTCTTCTTCCCTTTCATGAACCTCTTTTAATATTTTAAAAATCCAATTTCATCCTTTGAAAATAAATGGCTTTTAAAACAATATACTTTGTTTCTGCAACTACAACAACAATCTTTACAATCTATGGCATAGAGGAATGAAAGTAGACCTCTTCTTAAATCTTTGACATGCAGATGAGGGCAATTGGTTCAAGATGTAGAGACTGGAGCTTTCTATTAATCTTGCGCAGATCAAACTTCAGTGTTGTAGAGGAACAAGCATACACAACTGAATCAAGTGGGGCTGGTGGTTGATCCATGGCATAGCAAGGGAGCAAAAGACGTTGGATGGATTTGAATTAAAATAGGGGGCCGGTGACAAATTGTAGGTTAAAGGAACAAACAAAGGAGAAGAAAGAAGAGGGAAGAGGAAGGAATAGTAGAAGAGGGGGGGAGAGAGAGAGAGAGGTGGTGATGAGGTGTTTTATGTTCAACGGTGAAGGACTGAAGGGGTAGAGGAAGGAGATAGAATAGAGAGGAGGGAGAGAGAATGGAGAAAGATGAGGCAGTTGAGCTTAGTATTCAACAGTGATGTTTTGGACATGATGAATAGTGTTTAGGTTTTCTGGTTATTTTTGAAAATTTAAAGAATGATGAAGGGTAAAATAGGTCTTTTATGAGCATAAGTTATACTTAAATTTATTTGTAACTCATGGTATGTTTAATTCAATTCATGAAAACTCAGGTTATGTTAAATTTAAGTCTTTTACCCTTTAGAATAAGCTATTCTGAACCAAAAGAAAAAAGAAAAAAAAAAAAAAAACTGGTGACCAGCCAAACACTAAAATAGCACTTTTTTAAAAAGCTCATTCCAAAAAGTTGGCTTTTACAGAAGTCAATTTAGGCCAAAAGGCACTCCCAAATGTGCAAGTATTTACTTATTTCCCAATTGTATTCAACGCAAATAACATTGATAAATTGATAATTGGGTGAATTTTATTGGAGTGTTGCAGGATTGGAGTCCAAGTTGTGTGCAGCTACATTACACTTCCTCTCTATGCACTAGTAACTCAGGTATCCTGTTTCCTTCCTCATGGAGTTTGTAGCACACCAAGTAGTGATAGAGAAGTAGCAAATTTTCTTAGCTTAGGCGCAGTTTGGAAAGAGTACAAATGCAAATATGTGCAGTGCAAATACATACAAAATAATACAAAACATAAGGTTTTGCACTCTACATATTTGCATTTGTACTCCTTCCAAACTGAGCCTTAAGTACTGTAACTTGAAGGGATTAGCTGTTACAACAGAATTACCATTGGTACTGTTGGCTGCCTTTTCACTTTTCCCTAATAACAAGATATTTTAACTCCAAACAAGAGGCTGCCACTGAAAATTTATTACTATCAAATTAAAGAACCCTACCAGAGGCCAGAGGGGACATGAAAAAACTTCACCCCTCTAAAAATCTATACAAAAGTCCAGAAACTAAAAAATTTACCAAGAAAAGGATAAACCAATTCCATCTTCAATCACTAAGTTGCATATCTGGGTTTGTGCAGATGGGATCAACCATGAAGAAATCCATCTTTGATGAACAGACGTCAAAGGCCCTTAAGAAGTGGCACATGAACGCCGTGAAAAAGAAACATACTGGGGACAAACCAGCAGCTTCCCCTACTAAGGGCCATGGAGGAAGCCCTAAGTCTTCACCTAACCAAACCCCAACTCACCCACTTAATCGTTCTGACATTGAAGCTCATGCATCACCAACAGCAGCAAACCTTATGGACAAACCAGAAAGTCTTCAACAAGATGGGCAAAATCCTCCCATTGTGGTGGCAGAAGACTACACCAAGGCTGACCTACTAACTGGACTTTGAAGGTGATGGTAGTAATAGCAATGATACGATGGCATGAAGATTACAATGGTAGTTGTCATTGGACCAGCAGCAAATTAAGCAATCGATATGATGGAAATCAGTTTCTCAATCAAATGCAGTATCTTCAGTTTATGCCAGTGACATATTTTGTATATGTATTTGACAAATGACAAGTTGGAGCCCACACATTCAATATATGTATTTGACACTGGTTGTGAATTATTAGTTAGCCCGTGCATTACCCTTTTCTATCAATTTGTAATGTAATGTAATGTAATAATGTCGATCTTTAAATGAAAGAAATTGTAATAAATCTCTTTAGCTGGTTTACAGTTTGACATGTTGCTTGGTTTCAACTCAATTACAGACTTTCAGAGTGAGGTCATCTCGTCATCATTTTTATGAGCTCAGCATCTTTTCACTACAATCAAATGTTTTTTTTTTTTTGTTTGAGAGGGGGAAAAATGGGAAGGGGCGTGGGGTGGGGAAGGATACCCATCTCCTAGCTGACTAAATAACTTTCCCACTTGGGGGTAAAGTTGTCAACACTTGAATAGTTGAATGGACAAAAATGCCCCTTAATTTTAATAATGGATTTTTATGGCTAAAATGGTCATTGTCTTATTTACATGGAAAATAAAAGAATATGGATAAATGCACTTACCCTTTCCCGGGTACCCAGATAAGTAACTTACCAAAAAGAGTTTCCTGAGTATCCGGATAAGTAACTTACCAAAAAGCGAACGGGCCTAAGTCTGACTAAGGAGGAAGTTGTATTCATTTATTCAAAGATGGGGAACAAATGTTTAATTTTAAAAATAGAGCTATGGTAAATGGCAATGGGCCATCCATACTCTACTCAACTTCGAGTTGAAACAACCATGGCTACTTCTTTGTAGAGTGTTGACAAATGCACAATTGATTTTCTTTTATGTTCAAGCCAACTAGCAAGCCCGTGCCCCACTAAGCACGCCCCACATGAACATCTCAGCTTGCATTGAGAACATCTCCTGTACTTATCATGGAGAGATGTTCCCAATACACAATTGGGATGGGTTGTGGGGCACATGTAGGGGCACTGATGTGAATTCCTCTTCCTTGAAAAGCTAATGCCACTCAAGATCATTTTACTCTCTCCCAAGGATTTAAATATTGATAGGATACACCCGATATGGGGCGTATCGTATCAGTATTGGCCTATGCCAGTACGGGATATGCTACGACAGAAGCATAACTCGTGAGTTGTATGTATCATAGTGATACAAATCCGTATTAACCTGTATCGCATTGTATCGGCCAATATAGGCCGATACACATTGATTGATGCATTTAATATTTAGTTGCCTTTTTGTTAATGTTAAAAATAAAAAAAAATTATATAATAATTAAAATATAATAGATACATATGTTTAGTGCCTTGGACTCTTGATTGATGCATTGTAAATAAAATTATATGATACCTATGCATCCTGATATACTAATTATAATATATTTCTTCATATATATCACTAAAAATATACATTTCCTATGTATTTATATACTATTTGTGATTATTTTGATATTAAATTTAATGATATTATTGTATTTATGGAATTTATATGTATTTTCCTACTGCATCCATGCATTTTCATATTTTTCATCCATATCCATATGTTTCCAAAATGTATTTGTATCCGTATCCGAGTTGTTCGATACGATACCCGATATCGATTATTTGCTCTCTCCACCTTCACAGGTTAGAGAGATGGAACAAATGTTGGACTACCCTCCTGATGGAGTGGGGCCCATGCAAGAAGACAAAACGAAGAAATGCAAAACAAAAGGCTAAGGCAAAGTTACTTTTAGCATTACCTTTTCAAGAAGCCAAATATGTTACTTCTGGCCAACGAAATGGGGATCAATGTTTTAAAATTAGTGGGTATTCATTCGGTTGGTTCGGTTCAGAAATAGAATTAAATCGATATTTTGGTTAGGTAATTTTCATGAATCGAATCCAATTGAATTAGACTTGAAATCAAACTGAACCAAACCAAATTTAAATCGGTTCAATTCAGTTTTAATTTGGTTAACTAAAATATAAATGTATTTTAATTTATATTAATAAGTATTATTAAAATATATCAACATTTATAATTAAAATATATATTATTTATTATTATTAATATAAATAGTAATGTTAATATTAATATGAATATTTATAATTAAAATATAAGTATAAGTATTTATTATTTTGGTTAATTATGTTTTCAGTTCAGTTCGGTTGAATTTTTTTCTCAAACCGAACTAAAAAATAAAAAACCAAAATTTCTAAGATCTTAAAACCAAACCAAACTGAAAACTGAAATAGCCAAACCAAATTGACTTATTCTGTTTGATTTGGTTCGGTTTTCGATTTGATAACTGAATTTGAGCACCCATATTTAAACCATCACTTACCCAAATGGTTGATCATGACTGAACCAGTCATGACCCATTTTCTGTTTAAAAAATGTTGGAAAGGTCAACAAACCGTTGAACCGTTCAACCCTATAATGATTTGCATGTTGACCTTACAATAATATTTAAACTAACTTGGTTGTCAAAACCCCAAATATGCTCACTTTTCACATTTTCACAAAACGCACTGCTGCCAAGATTCCCTTCATCCAGGAATTTGGATATTCAATTTTTTTCTCTTCTATTTCTTCTTTCTGTTTATTTTTTCTACTAGTCAGAACCCGTGTAGTGCACGGGCTTTATTTATAAGAAAAATTGAAGATGAAGCTCTATGACATTTCTAATTAAGTGGTGTCCATCTAAGTTCAATTCAAGTATAAGTTTTTGGGGTTATTTCTAGTTTATCCAATCACAATTTAAGTTGCACTTTAGTGAGAGTGGCCAATTTCTATTCTCTAGATAAATTTGAAAAAATAACTTTTTTTATTAATTTTTATTAGTTTATTATTATTTTTGTATTATTTCTAAGTAAAATTATAAAAAAAAACATCCTTTTAAAACAATTCTATAAACCGTGCTTGTGTTTTGGCCCTAACAAAGGCTTATCCTATAGTTCTAAAAAAAAAAGTTCAAATACCTCATTTCCCTTGACTTTTCGATAACAAAGGCATTAAAGTCCTTTCAATGTTAATGCATTGTCATACATAATTTAAGGTTGCAACCTTACCCTTTATTAATTTATTTTTCCAGATAACTTTTAAAGAATAATTCTCCTTACTCTTCTTGGACAAAATGAGGTAAAAAGGCTAAAGTGAAGTAAAATTAATGCATTACATCAACATTTTTTATTTGGAATGCTAACAAAAGGAAGGCATTTGCATCTTCTTTCAAAAACAATATGAAATGTTTTGTTATGGCCAAAACACTAGGGAGCCTCATAGGATTGTTAGAAAACCCAAAGAAGTTTTTATAATTTTCCTTATTTTTAAATGGAATTTAAATTGATTTTAAAATAATTAAACTATATTTAAAATGAATATTTTTATTAATTTTTAAAAATAGTAAAAATTGAATTTATTTAAGCATAGAAATTTTTATTTTTAGTGGAACTTAAGTTGGTTTTAAATTAATAAAATTTAATAATAGAACTAATAATTGTTTAATAATTTTGTATTAGTATTTTATTAATTTTAAATTGATATTAGTTTTTTATTTATCTTATTCTTTTTATTAATTAAATTATTTTTTTTATATTAATAAAAATATTTTATCAATAACAATAATCAGACAATTATTTTTATTTTATTTAATTAACTTATTAAATTATTTTTGTTATGGCTGATTAATTTTTATTATTTTCAAATGGAATATAAATAAATTATAATTTTGAATGGAAGTAGATTATTTTGCATAATAATATATCATTGAATATCTTAATTTCAATATAATTAACCTTTACTAATAACTATAGTTTAATGCAATTATAATTAATGTGTTGTATGCAATTGAAATGAATATTAGTGGTAAAGGTGATTGGCGACTTGAATTATTTTGTTCAATTTTAAATTTATAAAATAAAAAAAAAACAAAAGTAAAAGATAAATGCCTTTAGGAAGAAACTAGGAAGCATGAAAGTGCCAACTTGGCCTATTGCCTTTTATTATATATATAAAGATGAACAAGAACTCAGAGAGAAATGGGAGCCAACAACAAAGGGATTTTGAGCATGAGGGATATTCGTAGGGTGTCAATGGACCGGTTTTGAGTTGGACCCTATCCAAATTAAAATCAATTTGGAAATAAGGCATATTGAATTGGACCAACCCAAATTTAATATTCAAAAGTATTTATTGGATTGGATTGGACCTGATCCATCTATATCAAAATTTATATTGGATTGGGTCAGATTAGACCAATATCTCATCCATTGATAGAAGATAAGAATATAGGTGTCAATGGACCAGGCTTGCATTGGAACAAATCTAAATTCAAGGTTTTTAAAATAAGACCAGATAGAGAATTGTTCTAGGAATCGGTTTCCAGGCCAAACGGTCCGATCGTTCAGTTCGAAAGGACGGCCCGTTCTAACTTAAAAAATAAAAATAATAAAACAACCAAAAACATTGTCTAGGTCGACAATTCGACTGCCCGTGTCAACAAGTCGTTGATCAAATCAACGTTTTTTTTTCCAAAAAGTGGTTTTAGGGTGAAACGAAATCAGTTACTTGACCAATTCTCAGTTTTTTTGGTCCAACTGTCCAATCCGGTCCATTTTTCAAAACCATGTCTAAACTAAAACCAATTTGAGTAGATTAGATGGTCCAAACATCAAATTAGACCGATTCAAAATAGTTCCTGGTTCCTTAAAGGGTTTGGTTCGATCCTGGTTCCTTAATACTTTTTTTCGAGTTAGTTCCAGTTCTACCTAGCCGGACCCGTTGAGAGAACATTGTGAGGAAATTTTAGTAGAGGAGAGATTTCTACTTCTCTCATTCTCGGGCGATTTGAGGGCTAATGCCTAATTCTTGGTGAAGATTTTGGCCATCTTAGACCACATTCTTGTGGATGTCTTTCTCATAAAAAATATGGGAATTAGATTTTCCTCTTTAGGTCTGAGAATTTTTGATAAAAATCTCTAAGATTGATAAATATGCAAATCAAAGTGTTGAATTTATGATCTTTTGCATGCGAAGCCAATTACTACCCCTCTAGGCTCTAGCTTTTGGCGCCTAACTTTCAAAATATTTTGGTACTCTAATTTCTTATCCTATATTGTACTAGAGTATATATAATGGGTGGCTTGCAATATGTAACCCTTAATTATTGCCTTTGCATTCAACAAAATGCGCCAATTTCTTCAAAGTTCTATTTCCAGGTAGGGGTGTGAATGGATCGGTTTTGGATTGGACCCCATTCAAACCAAAATCAATTTGAACAGATTGGATGGACCAACAAGATACATTGAATTGGATCAGTCTAGACTTGATGGTCCAAAGTATTTATTGGATTGGATTGGACCTAGTCAATCCATGATAAATTTATATAGGATTGGATTGGATTGAGCCAATATTTGATCCATTGATAGAAGATAAGAATATAGGTGTCAATGGATCAGGTTTGGGTTTAAATTGATTTAAATTAAAACAAATTTGAACAGATTGAACGGTCCAGACATTGAATTGGATTAGTCCAAAATATTCATTTGATTGAATTAGGTCTGGTCCATTTGTAATGGACTCACATTGGACTGAATCAGTTAGACCAAATCCACTCCAATTGACACCCATATTTCCAGTAAGCAATCCACCATTGCTCGATCTAGTATAGAATTTGAGCTGCTTGCTCTTGTTGATGCCACTATTATTCTTGTTTGGCTTTAAGGATTGCTATGTGAGTTAGGCTTTCCGGTGCCCCCTCCAATTTAAATAAAACCCAAAAATCTAATAAAAGTCCCTGTGGACTGATCCATTAATCGGAACCGGTTCCGACCCAACTATTAATCGGGTCAAAAGAACCAAAACCGATATAAGCGATCGATCGTTTGGTTTTTCGGGTAGACCCGATCCATTTTGGATCTACGTCGCGCATGACATGACCCGGATGACGTCCGCCTACGCCTTCACTCTTCGCAGAGATAACTGGTGGGGAATTCTGTAGGATTTCTCCGCAACGTTTCAAAAGGAAAATGAAAACCACTCTCAGTCTCAGATATGGCGGAGGTTCTAAAGCTCTTAGCTTCCATTTCAAGGAGAATCTCCCCATTAACTTCAACAACTATTTCCAGGTATTGTTAATCTCCTCCTCTGTCTTTTCTCGTCTTCATGTATTCTGTTTTTATTTCATTCGGCCTTATCTTTTCCCACCTTCTCTCCATGTTTTTTCCAATATGTTGATTACTTGCCTCTGCTCTCTTTAGAAACCTCGATTCTCTGATTCTAATTAGCGTTCCATGTCTTAGGCTTTTCTTTGTTTTTAGTTTTCTGAACTCTACTCTTCCGCAAGCGTGAGGGACTGTGATTTTCTGATACGTAGAACTGGTGACTAAGTGCTCTTAAATTAATTTATTACTTTACAAGGATAATGCCTACTTAAACCTTAAAAGAAGTTTCAGAAATTAATGGTTTCCGACTTTCTGGAGTCGAACTCTTCAAATTGAAGCAGCATTCTAACCATGTTTTATGCTTATAGCAGAAAACTAATGCTACTCTTAGAACATGGGTCCTAGCCATGTAAAAGCATATTACAATTTTAATTAAATACTGGAATCCCCCGAGACCATCTCTATGGGCATTTTCTTGGCTGTTGAACACTTGAATTTTGACTTTTTGGTTAAATTTGTAAATCAACTCTATTACGTGGTCTAGGCTCCATCAAACTTTATGAAGATTGTGTACCAAATTTTATTGTTTTTAACACAGGAATCTACTATCTATGCTATGCTATGCTATCTACCATTTTCACTGCCATCTGATATTTCATTACCCTCTAATTGACTGCATGATTTGTCAGTTAAATGTTTAAGCTTTTAACATTCTACCAATCATAGTCATAAAAAAATTTCTGTCAATCATTGTTTTGACTGTATGGTGTGATTATTATAAGTAATTCACGGACCAGCTGGTCTAACAGCCATGGCTGATTCTTTGCAGAGTATTGACAAAAGCATGGTTGATTTTCATCTATGTTCAAAGGCAACAGCAAACCAAAAATTATGCTCAAATCAAGTTTCTCTTCCACTACCCATTTCAAGAAGATCTACTCTTCTGATCTCTGCTCTACCACTCAACCTCATTTTACTCTCTCCACCTTCACATGCTAGAGAGAGACGGAACAAAAGGGCCATCCCCCTTGAAGATTACAAGACCAGTGGTTCTCTCTTTCTCTCTCTTCCTCTCTCTTCCACCCTCCACACACACGGATACACATAGAGTTGCAGACAAAATTCATGATTTCTCTAGAATTTCTTATAAGAGCTGCAGCGCATATGAAAATTTGTTCTCTGATACTTGATCATTTGCCTAGAATTATTTCTGCATCCATTTGATATTTTCATGCAAGTTTGGGTTTTATCTTTGTTTGCATTTGATTTTTGATTGACACTGTGGTTAGATGTGTATCATCAAAGTGGGCAGAGCATTTTATATTTTTTCTCGTTCTCCTTAATGATAAGATTTACTGTCCACACATCAACAGCATGCAATGTATAATCTTATGGTAACAGCAATGCCATTGGAAAATAACAGTACTGTATGAAAGATGTTTAATATTGGTGTTACATCATGCACATTATTCTTGTTGTTTACACAATAGTCTATTACAATCTGAACTTGTTAAACAGCTGATGGTCTGAAGTACTATGATCTTGTTGAGGGGATGGGTGCAACAGCTGAGAAAGGATTTACAGTTCAGGTTCTTCTATAATAGATGTAGAGAATATTCTGTTCCCCCAAGTTAATTGGTTCCTTGCTTTTCCAATGTTATTGAATAGATCCTTAAATTCTTCTTCTCCAATTGTATTCTTAGGTCCATTTTGACTGCATATATCGAGGTATTACAGCTGTTTCAAGTCGAGAATCTAAACTCTTAGCTGGGAACCGCACTATTGCACAGGTTATCAATCTATTGGTCTCTTGCAATGTTTTGTGAAACACGCATGTTAATTTCTTTTCGGCCCATCTTTTTCTCCTTTTTTTCTCCTCTAGTGTTAGAATCATAGTGTCAGATTGGCTGTAATATTCTTTTATTCTGAATCTATCTTTTTTGGGAAACATTTATAAGATGTAAAAAAATTTGACTAAAATTTTTCACCAAAAAAAAAAATAATAATTTGACTAAATTATGTCTCTAGTTTTTTGCTTTCCAGCTGAAGGGCCATAGGCCCAGGCTTGTTTTTTGTGCCTATTGCTTGGGATCCGAAAAGGATTGGCTCCCCTTGGCCCATCATTTAGAGAAAAGTTGAGGTGATGGCTAAGACCATAAAACAATGAATGGGATTCATGATTTGACTGAAGAAAACTGGACCTTAGATGATGAGTGAAGTCAAATAGCTGGAAGGTGGAGAGCTGAATACTTGGACTAGCCCCTCTTGCTCCATCTGTTTGTAAGGACATTTGGTACAAGATAGCTAATAGCTTGCAATTGCTCCTACCACTAGGCCATTCAAAAACATGTTTATGTTCCACTCTGTAATGGTAGCTAACTATCTACATGTTTCTTTCTTTATTTAAATGATCATGCATTATCATCATCCATGCCTTATCCCAATTATATGGGGTTGGATACATGAATCCTGTTGCACCAACACCAATTCATTCTATTTAAGGCCATATAAGGGTTTGGCAAAAGCTTTAGTGACAGCTGTCAACCTGACACAACTCTCCTCCTTTATCCAGGCTTGGGACCAGTGGTGTAAGACAAGCTCATACTGGCACAGTTAAATTGCTGACAGACATATTCTATGTGCTTTATGTACATGTGCCATATTATGTAAACAATAATTGCTGATAGACATTCTCTGTGCTTAAGTAGCCATATGAATTCAAGGTTGGAGCTCCTCCAGGAAAAGAACGGAAGCGTGAATTTGTTGACAACCCAAATGGTCTTTTTTCTGCCCAGGCTGCACCGAAACCTCCAGCAGCGGTGTACTCAATAACTGAAGGGATGAAAGTAGGAGGGAAGGTGAGAATTTCTTAGTTAATTTCCTATTTCACTAGTTTTCCTCTTAGTTTCCTCCTAGTTCTAAATGCAACTATATTTACTTTTAATGTGCAATTTGACCCATATTTTTTATGTAACCAAGTTTTCTAATAATTGATTCCACTGCAGAGGACGGTTATTGTGCCTCCAGAGGCTGGATATGGACAAAAGGGAATGAATGAAATTCCGGTAAATCCTAGTCATTGTTTGATTTCGTAAGTATAAAAATATGGACTGTTGGTGGTTTTCCATTATACCCTGATCTGGATTGGTGTCAGTAGACGTTCAAGACTGCTATCAGCCTTGAACCCTAATAGATTTCAGGTTCGAAAATAGAAGAAAAAGTATAGAGAAGAGAGGAGAAAGAGAAGAGAGAGCAGTAGAACACAAGGGTTGAAAGGAGGGACAGAATCTTAATGTTCTACCGCCGCTATTTTTATTTAGTATTTATAGGTTATGCTCATTACATGGAAAGGACAGATCTGCCCTTAGTATTTACATAACAAGTAGAACAAAATAAAACTGAAATAAATAACAACTAAAATAACCAACTGACCCCCAGCTAACCCTAGGATGACTATAAAACATTCTACCCTACGAACACAGTGGCACCATAGCTGTGGGGCCCACATCAGTGTTCTCTACAGTGTCACAGCAACTAACTGTCCATACCATGACCAATGGTGTCAGAAACCATCCATACTATGAACAGTGGTGTCAGATCACCTACATTTTTCATCTTTTTGTGCATCTAATTTGATTTTTTCTCCCCTGATATATATTAAGTTTTTTATTTTGGTAGAACGTACAAATTTAAGTTGAGAGTGTATTTCTTGTTCATAGAGGGCCTTCTCAAAATCTACATGCATATTACATCTTGAAGTATACTTGAAAAGCAAGTAAAATGAAATAAAAGATTATTTTGCAGCCTGGAGCTACCTTTGAATTGAATGTGGAGCTTCTACAAGTAATACCACCAGAGGCAAACTAATCCATGATGGGTGATAAGAGGGCCATCTCAGTTGAATTTATATTCTTGCATTGAAGCCATTCTTTTCCCTTACTTGTAGAAGAGGTAATTTTCCATTTGAGTAATTCTTTTGTGCAGAATGGTATCTTATCTATAGATTCTCCCCCCTGATATGTGAATTATCTGTGTGTTGTTTCCTATTTCTTTATTGTATCTACAATATCATTTCTTTTTAATTTTTGGTATTAATTATAGCCACAATACATACTGTAACAAATATTGTAAAAGGTTGGGGATATTTAAAAAAGTAGGGAGGTAGCATTCTTGCTAGGTAGAGACGTACCTAGTACCCAAAGAAGGCTGTTCAAAATCCCTTTTTCCTTTTAACTATGACAATTATTCTCACTATTGAAGCCTATGTACTGTGGTTATAAGCTTCTCATTCTGATAATATTATCCTTTTTTCTAATAAGTACTGATAATATTTCTTTTGATCATATAAGATGGTATAGTTATTTATTTTGGCTGTTAAATTTAAGTTATGGATATTCAGGTAGCTGTTTATGTGGTTGTTGTTAATGGGGATACTAGTGTATGTTTTTCCTCCTTTTTCTTCTCTACATCATTGATAGTTGACATCTACCATTGGTTTGGTTTGGATAATTAGATCCACTTATAATGAGGGTTGAGACAATGAGTGGGTCACTAGAACTTACTACAGCTTCACTAGCCACTCCAACCCTCTGCTGGACAGCTCCTCAAACCAGTCCATACCTGTCTATCTTTAGGCTAGCATCCCAACCCATTCCAAAATCTTAAGTTCAATATAACCTTTCATGATTTTACCTTGTCCAATTGTCAATTAGGTTTTTGTTAGGAACCTGCCTAACTCAAGAGTTCTCTTCGGGGGTGAACTCTTCCTCCAGCAGCAAGGCTCATGCCAAACTCATGGCCTTTCTTGATGTGGATATCTTGAGTTTACAAACTGGTATCACTTTGAGGTTGGGCCACCTTGGTTCAACTCTGTAGTGGGCTGGTCTCCCAAAACTGTTGGCTGGCTATCAATAGCCATGTAAGGTCTAAAGACTCCCCCCTCTTGAGGTCAACCTTGTCCTCAAGCTTAGGAGAGTAAGTCGGGTCAGGTTAGGTTGGATTATGGTCAAGGATTGAAGTATTGATATGACACGCCCCATATCAGGCATATTGTATTGGTATTGGTGTATCCAGATGCAATGGATACACTAATACACAAAAATTTTCAAAAGTTTAAAGGGTCTCAGACCTCTTCTGGCACCCTCTCATTATTATAAAATAAAAAAAATAAAAATAAAACAAACAAAAAAGGAGTATCGGCCCATATTGATACACAGTGATACCCATGTTGGGTATCGGTGCATATCAATATTTTAATCCTTGCTTGTGGTCAACCCTAGCCCAACTCAAGGTTCTGAACCCCCAACCCTAACCCTAACCCAACACAACCTAGTCAACCCAAACGTAACCCAATCTAAAATCCCTTAATCCTAACCCAACCTCTTAAAATCTTATAAAATCTCTCAAATTCTCTTGATATCTGATTAAGACACCCTAAACTTAGCTTTTATGACCATATATTGACTATATATTGGTATTTTCTTGTTTGATGTTTTTATTGTCTCTTTTAGTACAAAAGTAAAAAGAAAAAAGCACTTATGAATTATGATAGATCTCCTATTGAAAATATAAAATCATGAAATCATCATCAGTAAACATAAAATTATGGAATGAAAATCACTAATGCTATCTTGTCATTAGGGTAGGGTTAGGGCTTAAGAGTTAAGACAAATTGATTAATAGTAGGTGGTGGGACTATAATGCATATGCTCAGTAGTGATAATACTGCCGGGTTTGGGTTGGTAAAACTTGACCCAACCCTAACCTGATTGTCAGTCAATCCAACCCAACCCACTTTTTTGGATTGGGCTTGGGCTAACCTAGCCCAAGTTGCAGCCCTACTCAAGGTTGAGACAAAAGAGTTACTTTAGATTGAGATAGGACACCCAAGTTGCATCCACCCCTAACAGTTTATTCCAAATAACTAAGGTTTCTTTAATGGTCTTTTATCCTGTTAACTCTTCTGGAGTCGATTATCTTCATGGGCTCGACTTAAAGTGTCATTGTCATCAAAGTCAGGCAAAGAAGGTCCCCCCATTTATGTTTCAGTCAAGGCGTTGCTTGAGAAGGGAAACATGGAATATTGGATGGATTTTGGAGCTGGATGGCAAGCCCAACTTGTAGGTGGCATGCCTATTGCACTGAAGCCATGTTCCTTGAAGTCAGAAATACTCCTTTCTGAGGTTAATCAGGAAAACAGGTCTTGGTTTGAAACAATGAACCTGAGAGTGCCATGCAATTTGGCCAATTTGCTCGCAATAATTCAGCAACCATCATGACATTGTAAGGACGTGGAAGCCTAGAAAAGTGTTCATACTTGGGGAGTCTGTCCACGACACCATTGTTACTTATTTTCCCCTGGATGTTGGCAATCCGCTGATAAAATCCGTCAATGCATCATTCCAAACTCTTGTGGAAATATACAATGGTTGAAGTAGACCTGCAAGCAATGGGGTTGCATGCCTCTTTTGCTGACACACCTATTTGCTTCTTCATTCCTACTAGTAAAAATGAGTTGCCACCTGTTTATAAGTTCGCGATTCCTGAATGACCCCCCATCTGGGTATCATGAAACAACTGCAATTACTCTAGAATAAATTTCAAGTTGGCTAGTAGAACCAAACATCCCTTGTAGTACAAATTTAGGCCATACACCACATACCCGAGGTGTAATGAAGTGTCCTAGGCTAGCTGAGCTCTAAGTTTGCTCATACTAGGGATTTTGTGAGCTTCATCTTTAATTTCTTGTAATAGTGGATTTGTTGATCTGGGAGTCATCAATTGGTCTAACTCGGCCTTCCTTGAGAGAGAAGTCACCACAACATTTCTCATTTCTCAATGGGTCATGTGGAAGGAAAAATGTCTTAGGAGCACACCAAACTTCCTTCACAGGAAATGACCCAAAAGGGAGGGGCGGTGATCCTAACCAACACATCAAAGAAGGAACTACAAGAAAGCTACCAGCAGAGGTAGGAACCCAAACATGCCAATCCCCAGCAGAGTTAGGAACTATCAAGAGCCACCCCTTCCAACAAACTTGGAAGACTAGAACTAGGAATAATTTCAGAATCCCTTTAAGCCCCTTCTAAAACCCAAGTTTCAATTAAACCCAAGGTCAGAAGAAGGTGAAACAAAATTAGAATAGGTTTATTTTTAAAGTTAGAGATAGTATAGAGAGAAGGAAAAATGTCTTTCAGCGGTGACTTCTCAAGTCACAGGTCTCCCCAGAACTTATTCTTGTTGCTTGATGAAAGGTCATACCTGATATGGTTTAGAAACAAGGGAAGAGTGCTATGGATGCCCTTCCAAGGAGAAGCAAGGGTGGCTCTACGCAAGATATCAGCATCCCATCCATGCTTTGAGAGCCCATGTATAGTCACCACAACTTATCACACTCCACCGAGAATCTTCACAACCATATTATCTAATCCCAGTCCCCCTTCCACTTTCCTTCTACTCACTAGGTCCCATCTAATCAGGTGATCCTTTCCTCTCCAGCTTTCCAAAGGAAATGCCTCATCAACTTCTCAATTCTTCTAATAATCACTTGTGGTATTCTAAACATAGAGAAGTAGTACAGAGGAAGGTTAGCTAAAGTGGATTTAATCAAAGTTATCCTATCCCCAAGAACTTTTCCAAATCACCAATCTCTTCTTGATTTTCTCCATCACTGGATTCCAGAAGCTATTTGGTCTTAGGGTTAGCTCCTAAGGGTAGGCCTAGATTCTTCAACGGCCACTCACTGTAGACACAACCTAAGGCTACTACCCAAGAATTTAATTCATCCTCTTCCATATTTAAACTTGCCACCATGCTCTTTCCCCAATTGACCTTTAATTGAAATTTTTTTTCAAATAACCTCACCACCAACTTTAGGTTCTCAAATCCTTGCCTGTTCTCCCCACTACAAAAAATAATAATGTCGTCAGCAAACTGCAAGTGAGACACTACAACACTATCTCTTCCCACACTCCACCCTTTGAAGAATTGAATCCTTTCTGTTCTTTAGATAAGCCTACTAAGAACATCTGTCACAAGAGTAAAGAGAAAGGGGGATAAAGTCATCACAAAACCAATCAAACATTCTTCCAGCCTATCCATGGGACAAAACCCATTGATCAAACAAACAAATGTTCACATCATAGGTTGACAACTGATTTGATGGAAATTAAAAAACATTTCCATTTTCTTGCAGTTATGTAAACTTGTAGCATATTTAATGCAAACAACTATTTAATCTTATTGAAGTTCTCTTGTTGATTACTGGGTAGGCAAAAAAGAATTTCTGGGTTTGTACATATTCCAAGACATCTAGCTGATTTAAGTTTGTTCAGGTTATGGATTCACAGGAGGCATCATTAAATTGTGGAACTTGTAGCTTAGTTGACAGAGATGGCATGCTTGATATTCTGCTATAATTTTTCCAAGATCTGCTAAGGAATGGCATTTGGAATTTCAAACAATACTTAACAACATAATGGCATCTATATTACTAGCAACAACTGCATATATACATTATGTTGACTTGCTTCGATTTTGAAATTCAGATACTGTTTCTTCTGCTTTTGCTGAAAGTGAAACATATGTTCTTATGGTTAGCTTCCACATTGACTTGAAAGGGAAACTCTATAGTTAGTTTCCACGGTTACTATTTCTTCCATTTAAGATAGAAGAGTGTATGATACACCATTAGTCCATTTTCTTTGCATATATATTTCTCCTGTAGAACAAACTCTTTAAAATTGAATGGCACTGTTTGCAGATTTCATTTGGGCTTATTTGCATATGCTGCAGGAAGCTGCTTTGAGACTGGTTTTGGCATATTAGATGCAGAACTGAAAGCATATTTGTGTGGAGCTAAGCCATGCTTGCTCAACAAAGAAACTAGAAGAAAATCATTTTCGAGCCTGATTCAAAATTTGAAATATTTGCATCGAATGGAGATGCTTCCTTGATTTTGCTTGGATGCTGTAGACAAGATTAATCTCTGTTATTCTTTTGATATGATTAAATTTAGGCCCTGTTTGGTTCGCGGGAATAGGGGTCTGGAATCGGAATCGGAATTGGAATTGGAATCGGAATTGGAATTGGAATTGGCTATTCCAATTCCAACTGTTTGGTTGGGTGGAATCGAAATCCTATCCCCATTCCTACTGGAATGGCATTCCCCCATTTGAGGGAATGGCCATTTCCTGCCCCTTCTTTGGGAATGAAATCTTGTTCATGCTGATTTCAATTTTCATTCCCATTCCTGTCTGAACCAAACATACTACAAACATACTATGGGAATGGACCATTTCGATTCCGATTCTGACTGTGAACCAAACAGACCCTTATATTTGTTAATTGATCCTTTAATAGAGTTTAAGATGCGTTGTTCATTGATCCTTTAAAGAGTTTAAGATGCATCGAGCACTTGAAAGATAAGGCAAATTGCCAATGAAGATTGGAAGTGGGTCCTCTAGGCCATTACCTAGAAGATTAAGATACTCAAGTGCAGGCTTCTTTTAACTTATGAGACTCCCATAATTGCAGTTGATTTAAGTATGAAAATTTGATCCTTCAATCACCTTTAATTTTTTTGGTAATGCAATTTTTTATATTTTTCCTTCAATTTTTGTTCTATATTTTTATCATTTTTGTTCATCCTGCAATATTTTTTTTAGTATTTTTATATTTTTCTGTAAATTTATTATATTTTCTGCATTTCATGAGATTTTTGTTATTTCAATCGGCTTGGATTGGATCACCTCTAATTTGATCCATTTGCATTAAAATGAATTGGATTGAATTCTCTTTTCGTTGGATTTGGGTCACACCGGATTTGGATTATCCATAATGCACCCCATGCTGGATTGGATCGGATTGGACCAATGCCAGTCCATTGTCAGCCCTAAATAATAACAGAAATGCCCACTCAAATGATGGGATGACCATTCAGTTCAAGGTCGATGGTCAAATGGTTCCAGTCGTATATGACAGGGCTAAGTTCACAAAGCCACTATCCCTAGGACTATTTGCACCACTGAAATCCAGAGGGTGACAGTTCACTACAAACAAATGATTCTGAATCTTATGAGCCAATTCCGTCACAACTAAGTTGATTTCCGTCCGCCACATGTACAATGAACGGGTCAGTGTGCTGGATATTCAGGGCCAGTTGTCAAATGCGAATGCATGCAATGAGCGTGTTTCCACCAGATATTCCAAATACGAAGCTGTAATGTATTGGGGTAGATATGTGAAAACAATTTGTGGGTAGCAAGTTGATTGAGCCACTGTCTATATGAGTATGGAAACCCTTCGTCCAGTTAGAACCCATTCGGCCAAGTGGGCTTCTGGGTCGATTGAGCTGTGTTGATCAAGCCACTTTAGAGAAACTACGTGAGGACTCACTGGAAAGTTGACTGCGGCTTCTTAAGCCTATTTCTGACTTTTTGGGGTTTTACCAAATACAGCTTCACGGCATTCTGGATATCTTGGCTCATGGGACGACAGAAGCCACTACATGGAAAACCCCTGGCACTAGATGTCTTTTGACACTCATGCTAGAGTCTATGGTGACATTGGATCTATGAGAGCCTACAAAGATTGCTGGGCTCTTAGGCTCAAAATAGAGGTTCTATGCTTCATTAATTAGGCTTCCCCATTGTCTGTTCATCTGTTGGGAGATGGAAGGTCAACGGCTCTTACACTTGTAGCCTGGACTAAGGTTCAATGTATCAACAATAATAGGGTGTCAATTGGACCAGATTTGGTCCAATCCAATTCGGTCTAATATGAATCTATTACAGATGGACCAGGTCCAATCCAATCCAATGAATATGTTGGATCAATTTGGCCCGGTCCAAAATGGTCCATTGACACCTGTATACTTCTCTTCTATGAATGTATTGGATATTGGTTCAGTCCAACCCAACGCAATATAAATCCATTACAGATGAATCAGATCCAATCCAATCTAATAAATACTCTAGACTGGACTGGTCCAATTCAATATGTCTTATTGGTTCATCAAATCCATCTAAATTGATTTTGATTTGGATGGGATCCAATATAAAACTGGTCCGTTGACATCCCTAGTTGATATTCCTGATATACAGATTTCGCGTATTAAAAGTTTATATTGAGCGTTCTTTTTTCTTTTTACTTTTTGTTTGGTAATCTGACAAAGGCCTTTCACTTCATTGATTATTGTTTCAAATAATTGAAATCATGTAAATGCTCAATTTAATATATCGGTCACCCTAAAAATTGATGCATATAGTCCATGCACATTGATATGTTTCAATATTTTGAACCTTGGCATGGGTTGAATTTTAAACCAAACACAGCCTTTTTAGCTGTGTTTGGTTTAAAAGAAAAGACATCCTACAAGCTTACATCTTCGCCCAAGTTTATTTCTTAGGGTCTTTTTTTTTTTTTGGATTTTGAAAGGGAGAAAGTTGGTCAATGGGATTTTGGTTTCGATTGACCAAGAAACCCATGTTCTTTTCGTTGATTTATATGAGGTTCACTGAAAATTTATTTTCTCTAGGTACCCCCATCTCCTAGGTGGGAAAGTAACTTTCCCACATGGGGAAAGTTGCCAGTAGTTGGATGAGACAAAATTGTCCCTTTTAATAATGGATTTTTATGGCTAAAACGGTCATTGTCTTATAACTGGGAAATAAAAGAACATGGGTAAATGCACTTACCCGAATAAATGTTTCATAGGAAATATTTACCTAGGTATAGGGGTGTCAATGGACCGGTTTTGGGTTGGACTCTGTCCAAATCAAAATCCATTTGGACAGATTGGATGGACCAATAAGACATTGAATTTAGACAGACTGGACGGACCAATATAACATATTGGATTGGACCTGGTCCGTCAATAATGAATTTATATTGGATTGAGCCAATATCTGGTCCATTGATAGAAGACAAGAACATAGTAGTCAATGGACCAGGTTTGAGTTGAAATCAATCTAAATTAACAGGAATTTGAACAGATTGAACAATCTTTGGACCGGTCCAAAATGGTCCAAAATATTCATTGGACTGGATTGGACCAGGTTCATTTGTAATGGACTCACATTGGACTGGACCGGATTGGACCAAATCCAGTCCAATTGACACCCCTACCTAGGTAAGTGTATTTACTTAGATAACTTATGCATTGTTATGTCCATATTGAATTTTATCTTGCTTCCACATCTTGGCCCCAACCGTAGCCATCCCTTGGCTGGCTAGGGGCCCTTCACCCCCAATCTGATTTCCTCCTTAAGGCCTTCTACAAAGCATCGTACCACAACCTTGTCTAGCCACCCATGGACCTTGATAGTAAGTTGCTTGAATTTTAGTTGATATTTTTGAACCGTTTTGGTTTGTCTCAGTTTGGAATCTGACTTAAGATAATCTTCAAAGGCGGTTGGCCCTAGCCTTGTATGGATTGCCTTTGTAAAATTAGGGTTGCTCATGGTTTGGTTAATCAAACCATAGGGTTTTTTTTTTTCTGAAACTGAACCATCCTACCAATTTTTCCATATCCCAAATCGAAACTGAATCGATACCACCGGTTAACTGGTTGATTGGTTTCAGTTTTTTATCGGTTTAGTTATTCGTTTTTTGATATTTATAAATATATTATAAATAAATATATATAAAATATTATATTATAAATAATAAATAACATATAATATTATTTATAATATATTATATATTTTGAATAGATAAATACAAATAAATAATTATAAATAGAATACATGTATATATTTATATAATATATATATATATAAATAATATGTGGGATATATTAAAAATATATGTAATATACATATAAATACATATATCGGTCCTTCTGTTTTTCAGAAATACTGAACCGAAATCAAACCGATCGATTGGGTTAACTGCATTTTTTGGTTCATTTTGCTCAGTTTGGTTTGGTTTTTGGGTTTTTAGGTTTTTATAAACATCCCTATGTAAAGTCCAATCAGGCCACCTACGGGTGTGAAAAGTGGCAACATTGATACCAGTGGATGAATTTTGTCATCCCAATGAATAGGCATCTATATAGAGAGTCACTGATGACCATGAGTCTCGTAATACTCAAAATATCTTATGTCCAAGGGATTGAATTATTACTTGTAAAAGGAGGGAACTCGATCCTTGCATGGAGCGCTACCCCCTTTGCAATTGGAACTCTGACGATCCCTCCTAATTAGCATATTCCCTCTCATTAACTCAATATTTGAGGAACTTACCTAACAATTTGATCCACTTCATCCACCATTAAAGCTTAATTTGTGGTTATCCTCCTTTGGCTTTGTTAGGAACCTGCCTAACTTACGAGTTCTCTTTGAAGGGGAAGTCTTCCTTCATAACAGAACCCATGTGATTGGTCTTATCTTTCTTGTGCTCAGGGGTGCAATCAAGCTGAGCCGAGCCGAACCTTGGCATGTCTTGTCGCAGTTTGATTCTAATCATATTTTCTGGCTCGAGCTCGGTTCGATTAAATATTCAATGAGTTCGAGTTCATCTCAAAATCTTGAAAATAAATATATTTGTGTATTATATATATATGATATTTTTTTTATAATATATAGTATATTTTTTATATTTTATAGAATATAAAAGTATAGTATATATAATATATATGTACATATGTATCTATGTGTATGTATATATGTATGTATGTCTGTATGTATGTATGTATGTATGTATGTATGTATGGATGGATGGATGGATAGATGGATGTGTTAATCAAGTCAAGCTTACGAAATTTCGAGCCAAACTTTTTATTGGTCGAGATCGAGCTCAAATAACCAATCGAACTTACCCCAAGGTTCGAAGTCAATTTGAGCTCGATTAGAATTGAACTCGAAACGAGCCTAATCGAGTTTAAGCCTGAACTATTCGATTAGTTAGAGCTCAATTTGATGGCAGCCTTACATGTGCTTGTCTCAACTATACATGTAACCTAGTTGTATATGTTCCTTGTATCAATTTTTACCTCCCTTTTGTATACTGGCATCATAAACGAGTCCTCTTTCAAAT